GAAAACCACTCAAGACCAAAAAGTAAACAACACTAACATGTCTGTAGATATCACAAACACAACAACAAACAACATGTCTGAAGAACAGATAATATTAGACAATACAGAGGAAATCAAAGACACAACTGAACAGAAACAAGATGTATTAGAAAATGTACAAAGTGATAGATCACCAAATGAAACACAGAAAACCAACCCTTATGTTAACTTTCAAGAAGACAGCAACAAACAAAAAGGCTCAAAAGAAATACTAACTAAACAGTGGTCTAGTCTCTTTCCAAAACTAAGAAGGGGACAGTTCACCTATTCCTTCTTTAGGCCCAGAAGCCAAATTAGATCAAAAAATGAAAATGTCTTAATGATAAATGTTCAAGGCATGCATAGCTCTTTTAATGAAATTATGACCTCATTATTCAAGAACCTCAAAGAGAACATCATAGCAGCAAAACAACACTTCATAAAAGAAACATAAACACATGTAAAAATTGTATTTGAAAACAAAGAAAAATTAAAACACCATGTGCTCAAGAGAATTAATATTTTTGGCAGAACCTATTTTGGCTTTATTCCCACAGATTCAAAAAAATCTTTCCTTCCAGTCAAGATCAAAAATGTTCTACTGAGGAACAAAGAAGCATTATCTGATGCTATAAAAGAAGCCTTTGAGTTCATTGGTAGAATTGCCTCAATTAAGCCTTTATTGATTGAAGGAACACCATACCTTATAGACCAATAGATTATAATCTTTAAAAACTCAGATGACTCTAACTTAGAAAACAAAATTCCTTGTTTCATACATGTGTGAGACAATAAAGTTACAACAGAATGGAAATCAGCACCTAAAATGTACCACTTCTGCGAAAAAGAAGACCATGTCAAAAAAGAATGTCAACAATTCCAGGATTCAGTAAACTTATAAATTAGTTACCAAGAATACAAAAAGGATAAAACATCGAACAAATCAATAAAGAATCTTCACTACAAGAAAATTTGGAACTACCAGAACTAAATGATACAAAAGAAGATGCATATATGGCCTTAGAAGAGACTGATCCTAACTATCAACAGAACTTCCAACCCCTAGTTCTGACAGAACCAGCTACAATCAATATCAGCTCAGATGAACAAATACAAACGACAACTCAAGAAGATCCCTTACCAGATATAGAATTACTGCCAAGAGACAAACTTGCCATTTATGGCTATGAAACATCACATCCATCTGCAAGTCACATCCCCAAGGCAGCATCCCCACCTGACAAAAATGAAGAAACAAATGGCTTTATTATAGTTACCAACAAGAAATCAAAAAAAGGAAACAGAACATCTAAAAAGGAGGAGACAAGATCATCTCCTTATAAGAAAACTCATAGAGAAGAAAATTACTCTTAATTTAAAGGATCTAACAACCTCTTATAATTATGCCTCAAAAAACCAAATTAAAAATAGCAACACTAAATGTAAAAGGACTTAATGACAAAAGCAAACAACAAAATTCATAACTCTTTTAAATTAAACATAATAATGCTTCAAGAAACTAATCTCAATAATGAAAAAACACAAAAATTTCTTAAACAACAATGGATCTACAATTCAATCTGGACCAAAAAAAACAGCAATTCTAACAGAAAACAAAGACATTGAATTTAAGGAAGAATAATAATAGCAGACTTTGTGTTTAAAGGATATTCTTTCAAAATAACAAACATCTATGCACCACCAAACATCAGTGACAGAATAATCTTCTTTAATAATTGGAAACCCCTAATCAAAGAAAATAACATAAACATTATAGCAGGTGACTTCAATGTCAATTTCAATCCTAATGACAACAGGATCAGCCAAGCAACAGCCCAACATGACTCAACTAGAACTCAGCTTTGCAATTTAACGAAAGAATTTATTAACATGGCAAAGATGTCAAACACCAAGCCCTTTCTAACTTTTTTTCAAAAAACACAAAATAATCACTCAATGGCTACATACTTAGACTACATCTTTATAGATGAGAACCATAATCACCTTATATCAGAAGTTAGTATATACTTCAGCAACTCAGACCACTTCCTAGTAAGATGCATGCTTGAATTCAAACAGCCTTCAGTCTGGAAGTTCAATAAAGAATCTTTTAAAAACGAATTACTAAAAAAAGAGGTACTAGAGGAAATTCAGGATGCTGGCTTAGCAGAAAACTAGGATCTATGTAAAATCTATATACAATCAATTATTAGAGCCTTTTGAAAACCCAAAGCTTCTGAAAACAAAATGGCAAGACTAAACAAAGATATTACAAGGTTAAGCAAAGAGCTTGTAGCAGACTCCTCAAAAGAAAATCTCAAGAAAAATATAAAAGAACTTAACCTCCAAATACAAGAGGAATTAACTAAGATGGCTGCATCATGATTAATCCAGTCAAAAACAAAATGGATTGAAAATGAAGAAAAATCAACAAAATATTTTTTCTCAAGATACAAAGCAAGAAAATCACAAAGTACCTAATCCAAAATTGAAATACCTAAAACTTCAAGCTCAGAAAATAAAGATACAATTACATATATTAAAAACCAATATACAAAAATCTATAAAAAAGTAAACATAGACTATAAGGCAGCAGAAGAAATTACTAAAAATCTTTCTCAAGTACTACAAGACCAAAATGACAATTTGGTCAAAAGAATTTTGCAGAAAGAAATAAGTCAAGTGATACAAGGCCTTCCTAATAACAAGTCACCTGGCACTGATGGGCTGACCTATGAATTCTACAAGCTTACATTATTAGAAATAGCACCAGTTCTAGAAAAGGTGTTCAATCAAGTACTAGATACTGGCTGCTTACCTAACTCATAGTGCAGAAACATAATCATATTAATTCCTAAAAAATCAGAAAACTTAAAGAATCTAAACAACTGGCAACCAATCTTACTGGTTAATTGTGATACCAAAATCTTCATGAAAATTATAGCAAATAGGCTTAATGTAATTTGTGAGAAAATCATTCCTAGCCACCAACAAGAATTTGTTTCTGAAAAATCAATAACAGACATGATCATGGACATAATTACCATATTAAGAAACCAATCAGATAATTCTAAGCAGCACTGAATGCTTTTGGTAGATCAGCAAAAAGCATTTGACAGGGTAAATCACAACTTCTTAAATCTGGTTCTAAAAAAAAATGAACTTGGTGGCCAACCTTTTCTTGAACCAAATAGTACATATTATGGAAAGTAATGTTCTGTCTGAACCCTTCAGAGTAGAAAGAGGAGTATGACAAGGTGATCCTCTCTCTTCCTTATTATATGTGATTGCTTTCAAACCACTACTTATACAACTAGAAATAAACATTTAAGGAATTCCTTTAAAAAATTAATTTTTTAAACTATCAGCCTATGCAGATGACTTAAAATTAGGAATAAGCTTATCATCAGATTGAACAAGCATTATGCAACTTTTCAAAACCTATGAAGCTGCCTCCAATGCAAAGATTAACAAAAGCAAAGCACAGCCTACAGGATTGAGCTTGAAGATGAATTCCAATTTATGAAAACTACAGAACATGAAACACTAACAATTTTTGGCTACAAAGTAAACACAAAAGGCATTCCAAAAAAAGACCTATGAACATCAACAATCTTCAGAATAAAAAAAACACTAGAGAAATCATCTAATCAAAATCTTTCTTTCAGAAGAAAAATTCTTTTAGCCAAGGCACTCATACTCTCATGAATATAGTATGCAGCATACCTAACTCTGCTAAATAAAAAACAGATTGCAGAAATCAACAAACTTATGACCTTCTGAATTAAAAACAACTTCAGAATGCTGCCTAGATACTCTACATTTCAACAATCTTTTAAACAAAATAGCCTTCAAGCTTCAATAGTAGAAGATATACTAAACACTAGACTAATTTTAGTATAGAAAAAACTCCTTACTAGTGACTTTACATGGGCTAAGTACAAAAGAGAAAAAATTGCAGAAACTCTATTAGAAAAGAGAAACATTTCAATAAACCAGGCACTCAGAACAGAAATAATAAGATCAAAAGCCTGGCCAAAAGAATGGAAACCATATCTCTTAGCCTAGAAAAAGGCCAAAAGCAAAGTTATCACAACAACAAACTGGTCCTGGGAGCTTAAGGAAATCTAAATAAGAAAACTTAATGGTAAAGAACTCTGTTAAGAAAATTATCGAAATTCTAAGAAAAAGACTGGCATCTGAATCACCCAGTCCCAGTTAACAACCCAACTAGATGCTTGTTAAAAGAACAGCTAACAAGAAAAAAGACATTTTATGGTGCCTTTTCTATAAAGCTTTACCACTTGGATATTGACTACAGCATATAAGCTCTTCTATTACAGAAAGCTGCTCCTGATGTGACAATGAGCTACAAACAGCTAAACATTTCACACTTAAATGCAAAGTTAGCAAAGAAATTTGGAAACAGGCCTACAGTCTTCTAAAAACTAACCAAATTAAGACTCCTTCAACCACTATGGAAGAAATTTTTACAGCAACAAACGTTATAAGCAATGAAAGCAAGCAAGCCACTCTCTGGCTACATACAAGCATATTTTATGAAATCTGGTGCACTTATACTTCTTTTAAATGGAGAGACAGCAACCTCTCAAATAGAATTCTACCTCAATAGTAATCAAACATCTTCATAAAGACATATACACTCTGGATTATAGTTTGAAAAACTGTTCTTAAAAAACAAAAAATATATATAAATGTATTCAATGTTCTTAATAATTGATTTTTAATAAAAGAGTGCCACATTCACCCCTAGGTGCTAACACCAGAGATAAAAATACATATATATATATATAAATACTTGTTGTAATAATAATAATAAAAACTCTTTCTCTCTTTCCACTTTGATTTTTGGTGAAGGACAAAATAACATATACAACAATAAATAAGCAATCAATGTTTAGAAAAAACTATACCACAAGAGCTAAAACTCTTGTGCCGAAGAAAAAGAAAAAGCTAAAGGCATGACAGTTAGCAAAGAAATATGTCAGAAACTGCCAGAACAACCAAAACAAACAGAACATGTGCTACAAAATGATAACAAAATACAAGACATGAGTCATGTGACTAAAGTAGCAGGTACCCAACCAAGATCAAGACAATGGTCAGAATTGTTCTCCAAGTTAGAAAGAGGAAAGGCAACATACTCTACTTACTCACCAAAAAAAAGAATTAATACAAAAAATAAGAATGCTTTAATTTTTGAGATACATAATTTGGAAAATATTCCAACAACTGACATTGTAGAAGCAATGATGCAAAAGTTCAGAGAGAGATAGTTGTGGTCAAACCAATTATTTTCAAAAGAAAAAGAACTCATTTGAAGGTAGTTTTTGGAAATGAGGATAAGCAACAACTATATTCTGTAGAAGGTCTTGTTATCTTTAAACAAAAACTCCAGAGGTACATTCCAATCAATATTAGATGTAGCTTTCTTTCGGTTAGACTTTGAAATGCTTCTATGGACAAGAAAAATTTTATTTCAGATCAAATTAAAATGGCATTTCAAGACATGGGTCTAATTGCATCTATTAAACCTTTAGTATATAAAGGAACTTCGATATTATTGAACCAATGGGTGGTAATTTTCAAAACAACAGATGATCCTAAACTAGCAAATTGAATTTCTAGATATATGCATGTTTGGGATTACAAAGTAACAACAGACTAGAGAGAAGCCCCAAAACTTTGTTACTTTTGTGACAAAACAGAACATATTAAGAAAGAATGTTCTGAATACCAAGCTTCAGATGAACTTAGAAATCTGCAAAAGATGAGAAGGGCACAAAGATTAAAAGAGAAAAAACATATGAATTATCAAGAGAAAACTATAACAGAATTTAGTACAGAAAACCTTATACTAAGGAACTTAGTCTAGGAATAAATCTTGATAATGAGAAAGCAGAGCAACTAAAAGCAGAAATTGAAGCTAATAGTAGCTTTCCAAATAATAAAAAAACAGAACAACCAAGAACAGAAATTGAAATGAATAGTAGTGCTAAAAGCACTCAATTTATGCTTTCAGAGAAAACAATACAAAAGGAAATTGCATTAAATACACAAGAAATATGGCAAAAAAATCATTATATAATGATATACCAATGGTTACAATGTTGAAAAACACTAAACAAGAAGATTCTAATGAATTTAAAATAGTTACTTCTAAGAGAAAGCACAAACACAAATCCAAAATAGCTATTTTAGAGGAAAACAAATCTAATAAGATGAACTCAAAGGTCTTTAACTCAAAGACTAACAGGTTCTAAACTACATCTCATATATAACAAATATGGTTAAGTCAATCAAAATTGCAATCTTAAATGTTAAAGGTTTAAATAACAAGGACAAAGCTTACAGAACACTTACACTCTTAAAATCTTATAAAATAAATATAATCATGCTTTAAGAAACAAACTTAGAAAATGTAGACACAAGAAATTTTTTGCAACAACAATGGAATTACAGTTCCTATTGGACAGCT